CGATAATTAATTTCCCTCGGCGATCACCGCGGCCGGCGGTGAGTGCGATAATCAACGAACCCCGTAACGGCGGCAGATCGTATCGGCTCCGCCGGTCGAGGCGAGGCTAATCGTCTTTTACGGTTGTCAGCCGGTGAGCAGGCCGCGCGACAGGCGCGACAGATATTCGCGTGTGCGACCAACAATCGCCATCGGGGGGAGCCAATACGCGCTTAGACGTCGGCGCAAATATGCGTCGTAAAAGCCCGGCCGTTAGGCCTCGTCGACCGCTAAACATGGGCGTCGACGTGTCTCGCTGCTGCGACCGCCCATCGGTATTCCCCGTTGGTCGTTCAATAATAATTTATACAACCAGCCAGCGGCGTGTGTCCAGTTCGCAGGGTAAAGTCACCTTAACGATCGCCGGCGTGCCGAAGCGGGCAACCCTGAGTAAGTAAAAGTTAAGGTCTGCGTCCACGATGCTAGATCTTGATCCAAGCTTTTATGGAATTAGCTGCAAGTTGATTGGCTAAACATTTCTCGAAACTAGAACTTGGACCAAGTTCTAGCATCGTCGACACAGGCCTTTGAACCTTTAGCCGCACTCCCAACCTTGGCACCCGCATTTCAACCAAGATTGGCCCAGCCTTCATTTAAATCCGGAACGAGAACGTTGGGCCAAGAATGGTTATCAAGCAATGGAGCCAGTTCTGGACAGTTTCTGGATAAGTCATCGGCCTCACATAAGTTCCCAGCGTTGTCCCGTGATTGGGCTAGAATCGATCGCAAAATAGGCCATTCCTTGCAAACTAATGTGGGCCAGTCTTGGATATTTCAGAATCAGTTATCATTTTTCTGGTCCGGCTGTCATTCTTGGTTCAAGCGTGGCCACTTGAAATAGTACATAAGGAAGAGAGTTTTAAGTACTTTACTAAATTTATATAATAAAAATTATAATCCACATTTTTTTCTAAGTCAATTCTGAGCGAAGGCCTGATCATCGAGAATTGGCATACCAGCTCACAAGCGAAACTTGGCCGATACTCGGCTCATGCTTGGAGACTTGGCGTACCAACTCTGGGCCGACGCGTGGCCGATACTTCAACATCGGCAATTCTCAAGGCCTGTGTCCACGACGCTAGGTACTTGGTCCAAGTTCTAGTTTCTAGCAATTCTATAAAAGCTGCAAGTTGATTGGCTACACATTTCTCGGAACTAGAACTCGGACCGAGTTCTAGCGTCGTGGACACAGACCTTTACTCGGAGTAGGCGGCGAGGTGTACAACGTGGTACCGGGCATTCGCGGCCGCGATTGACGGTGCCCGGTGCGTGCACGATTTTATGCTAATCGAATTCGCTTTGTCGCGCCCGCCGGGTTCTCTCCCGGGAAACGCGCAAGCGCGGTGTTGACGCGCGTAGACGGGCACTCTTCGCGCGAGATAAGTGCGCCTCCCGCCCTACACCTGCGAATCGGCATTCGTGCAATCGCCACGATCGATTGCATCGGCGGTGCGGGTGTGCATCACGCGATTAGCGAGCTGGCAATTTATGCCGACCGGGTCGCGCTCGCAACGAGTTGCGCGCCGATTAATAATTCAAGCGCTCGCGATCCCGCGCGCCTGGAGAACGCGCGCTCCGCGGATTTGTCACGTTTCGCGCGATTATTAACGACGCGCTGGACATGGACCGGTGCTTTACACACGGGCGAAGATCTTTGTCGATTTCGTGCGAGGTCTTTCCGATCGTCACTGGCGTGCTCGCTGCGATTAAAGGTGGTGCGACAGATTCGAATTCGCGCCGCTCGTGCATACGTCGCGCCGATAGAAATTCCTTCTACGCCGAAGAGGACGCGGCTGTAACGTAAACCGTCGTAAATTATCGGCCGATATGCGGAATTAATCGAAGCCCGCAAATATACGACGTGTACCTCATATATTCTCCGTCAGCCCGTACAATACGAGCGAATAAAAAAGAAAACTGCTCGAGTAACTTTCTGGTAACCGTGCGTCGCGCCAATGTAGAGATATATTATATATGTACGTGCCAATTAGCCACATTCAAACGGGGTAGCAAATTCTCAACTAGTAACGACGGTAAACGTGTACTAGGTCGCGGAATCGATAATGTTGTCACGTGTGTGCACGTTCTAGAATTCGCGATAACGGTTCGCGAAATCACGGCTGATCAACCTGATCGCGCATCGAAGATGGAAGCTTCTTTTTTTAATACTATCACTTTATTCGCGAAGCTTATTGTAAAGGCGAAGCTCACATTTGTACCTTTTCACAGTACAACGGATTACACTTTTGACAAGTTTGAATTTTTCGAAAGATCCCAGCGCGTTGATTTACATGAAACATTCGAAATGCAGAATCCGATAGCGAATGGAAGTCGCAGTCGCATTTATTAAATTAAATCCGATCGGCGGATATCGGCGAATCGGAGATCCCCTCGACTAAAGGATGAAATATCGCGCGAGTGCAAGTAACATATGCACCATAACTTCCAATTATTTCATTTCGGCTGAGAGCGCACGGGTCGATCTACGGATGTCATATTTGTCTTTGTCGAGCGTACTCCGTATAATCGGTGAATAAATCCTCCGAAAAGAATCAACGGAAATCATGATTATTAACCCTTTAGAAATCTCGGAAGGATGGATTTCTCTCCGAGTGTATTCGGAATAGCGAACAATTACTACTATGTTATCCGACCCGAATAAAGATATTTAACGACTGTTCGGCTTCCAAACTTCTTTTTGGGCCCCAAAGGGTTAACGAAGTCAACGACGTGACGTCCTGCCCGTCGTCAAAGCGAATCGCCCGATAACAAATCACTCCTTATATGGCCAATCAAAATTTGTGAGCATACTGCAGAGAGAGAGAGAGAGGAAAAAGGATAAGTGAGGGCGGGAGAGAGAAACGTATATAACGAAACGAACACGACAATAAAGGGGAAAGAGGAAAAAGAGATGGAGGAGACGAAAACGCCGCGAGGCCCCATGCCGAGCCCAGTCACGGCCGGATCTCTTTCGCCTTCTTTGAGATCCTTCGACGAGGCCCCGCGTCTTCTTCTTCTTCTTCTTCTTCCTTCTCCTCCTCCCCCCTCCCCCCTTTCCCTTCCTCTTCTCTTTGCCTTTGTAAGTCTGGCGCCGTGATTTTTCACGGTCTGCGTCGAGGGCTAATCGAAATAGCGAGCGCCACCTCAGCTCGACTATATTTAGCCCTTTTACCGCCTCTCGTCCTCCCTTTCTCTCTCGCCTCTCTCGCTCTACATCGTCGATCGTTTTATTTCGCCGGAGCGCGAGAATACCTGCCTCGTGACACCAACGATGATAATATGGTGTTTCGGTGCAGTGTAAAGTAATCTAGATTATTAGGTTTTAATATGTATGCTAGTTGATACGAACGCAAATAGAATTTCTAGTGGCGCGCTGTTTATGAAATTTTATCGTTTATTCATGCTTGCCCCGAATACTGTGTACTATTAATAAAATGTCCTCGTGATAATGTAAAACTAAGAAAGACAAACGATGAGAGATACAACAACAAGGAAAGTACAATGGAGCTTTTTCGCTTCATTATCAAATTATATAATTATGGATATCTCGATGTCAGTCCTGTCTACATAAAAAATATTAAATTCTGTATTGCCAAATATTAGCGTAATTTTGGTTACTCGATATCTCAACAACTGGCTGTTAAAAAATGACTGGACCACAACGTTTAGACTGAACGACTGAAATCTATATTTACAATAGATTTGCGTGTATTTACGTGCCTCCTTTTTTACGGTCCACGTAAAAGTTTTACATTGTTTCATTCCGAGAGCTAATCGGGATATGCAAACGTCATCCCGGCCTCGGCTCCTAAGCCTTCACCTTCTCTACCTTCGAAAGCGTCCTCCCGCCTTCTTTTTATGTCGGTCGCATGGACCTTCGGGATACTTGTTCCATGACGCCTGACGCGCCGTCGGAGGTCCGAACTCTAACACCTTCGTAACAAGAAATAGAATAATGCGAACCGATGTTGATCATGCTGCAGATTAGCACGTCCGTAGCTGCGCTCCGGCATTAATCACCCACGGTCACTGACAGGTCCCGCCGTTTCTTGTCAGATAGCGATTGATGGTTGAAATAATGAGTGGCAAGTTCCAATAAGCTTTGCATTAACGTCCCCCCCTCTGCTTTTGCGATGCCGAGCGATATCGAGCGGTGTCCTTTCCACGTTGAAGAGCTTACACTTCATGGGAACTAAGCATAATACTCGGCAGCGTACGCTGATATAAACCAACTCGGTAGAAACTCAATTTCCAAGTACTTAAGGTGAACATACTTATATAATATTAATACCCAGATATGAGAGAGAGAGAGAGAGAGAGATATCTCGCACTGAATGCGCGCCGCTACCAATCCAGTCTCCGCTTCGCTTTCATAACTTCGTTATAATCTCTCATATATCGCATTAATATTTCCGCATATCGTCGCCGCCGGCGGTGTTAGCGCCAAATTACGAAGAGATACGCCCCCGCAAGTCTACCATTTCTCGCGCCCGCCGTTCCTCCCACGTTGAAGATCGCGATTTGTTTCATTCTAGCGTAAAACGCGACTTCCACGCTTAATTAGACGATCCGCCGGCATTTACGGACGACGTCGATGTTCTGAAGTACACGATACCCGTGTGCGCAATCGGTTTTGCGAGCCACAGTAAACGATGATAGTATTGCGACCGATAAAAGATTGTCCGAGCATTATTTATTACGAGGTCTGGGCGCTGAACGTATTACTCAAAATTAATTGGCGGACGTAAGATAACACGCTTGGAGGTTGAAAAACACCGAGACAACGCTCTCGTCCCTACGTTGCAAAGGGTAAACGAGCCTTTCAGGATGACGTACGCGCCACTTCCAAGCTAAACGGCCCATTCGTATTCGGCGTCGCCGAGAGACGTCACAAGGAGCAATCTCGCCGGCGCGTAGCCTCCGCGTGTTTGGGTAACACGAGACCCGGTTTTGTGTTTCAGGCAGGTATGCTGCGCGGCGATCACGGCGAGTTCTGGCTGGAACCAGTCGCCGTATCCCTGGAAGAGAAACGCGGCACGTCGCCGGCCGACGGAGCGACGAGTGGCGGCTTAGGCGCCGGTGCCCGCAGCACGTCGGTCCACGAGGGCCCGACGGCCGGCCGGCCTCATCTCGTCTACCGGCGCTCGGCCGAGCAGCAGCAACGGCAGCTCGAGATCGGCGCCGGCGGCCGTAGCAAGCGACGGCGCAAAAAGAAGAGGAAGCAGGAGAGAAACTGCGGCACCCGCGGTGAGAACAGACCCCGACACCTTTTTCTTGTTCCTCTTTCGCCTCTCGCCCGCGCGTCCCCCGCACTCGCCGCGCCGTCTTCCCACACCTCTCGTGCGCTCTCGCCCTCTCTTGTAATATGTATCACATGTATTTATGTGTCTGCCGTGTATAATGTAATTGGACGCGCCGTGGTATGGAACGTGGGCGTGTCATCGACGCCTCGTCTGTCCTTTATTTTTCGCCGACGATAATATCCGTGCGGGGAGGAAGGTGCAGGGTGGGCGAGAGAGAAAGGGTGTGCGGAGCGCTTGGTCTCGCGCGAGAATATTGAAACTCGCGGTATTAGAATCGATTCTAATCGATGTGTCTAGTGTTGTCTTTCGGCCGCGATAATGACCAACTCGACACGTGAGCCTTCCCGCCGAGTTGCGTGATGATTCGAACGATAGCGCGAGCCGAGTCTATCGAATCTAGTTCGATCGCGGTGCAAGTCGCGAAATTACCGTTCACCGCAGGTCCTTGGCGCTTGAGCTTTACGACCTAGCCACCCTCTCTGGCGGTCCTACATTTCGATGGATTAAACACACGCACGAGCGCGTCGACGTTTAGAGAAGTAAGATCGCACAATTGATAGGTTTCTCCGTAGGAACCCATGAGGGAATAATCCGTTTCGCGCAAACCCGTAATTAACTACAATGAATATCCATTTCGGCAAGTCGGTCGAGCGCTATCGGGCGGACTGAATAAAATCTTAATTGCAGACTTACGATCTGCCAATCTACGTAAATCAGCCGCGGCGTTAAAACGCTCCGTGGTACGTTAGTAGCGGCACGGCTATCTTTCTCGCTCGAGCAATTGGCAAGGACTTTACTCGAGCATTTCCGGCAACGTTAAAAATGATCAGGGCCACGAGTAAACTAACGGTAAAAGCGCAGCCATTAAGAGACGTTAGCTACTACATGTGATCGTGACAGCGCATGAAATATCCGACAGAACCGCGTCGATTGACAGAGACGCGGCTCGAATGGCAAACTCAACCAGGCCTCGTCCAAGTTCAAGGCCGTGGGCGAAGGAAACATCATCAGGCGAAACGATGGCATCGTTCCAAGAGATCGATCAGCACGCCGCGCCATGTCGAGGCTCTTGTCGTCGCTGACACAACGATGATGGCTTTTCACCAGGACGGCGACGTGGAGACCTATCTCCTGACCATCATGAACATGGTGTCCGCGCTCTACCTCGACCCAACCATCGGCAATTTCATCAACATTGTCGTGGTCAGAATTATTCTCGTCGAGGAGGAGGACGCGGAGGTATATTTGCGGTTTAAAAACGCTTTCAGATCAATTACGTGATAAACGTACGTTCGTGCGCCTCGATAGATGGAACGATTACTCGAAATGAACCGTTTCTGCCCCAGCAAGGACTGGACATCGCGGTGAACGCCGATAAGACCCTATACAATTTCTGCAAATGGCAGCAGAAGCTAAATCCCAGCGACGACTCGCACCCGAATCACCATGACGTGGCGATTCTCGTGACGAGAGAGGACATTTGTTCGCGTGCGAATACTCCTTGCAGTACACTGGGAGTGGCGCACGTCGCCGGCATGTGTCAACCGGACCGCAGCTGCAGTGTCAACGAGGACAATGGGATCACGTTGGCGCACACGATCACGCACGAATTGGGACACAAGTAAGCAAAATGGATAATCGGAAAGAGAGCGGAGGACTCCAAATACCAGGTCAATACGAATGTTTCGACGCAAAAAAAGAAACATTTCCAAATGTGTTTCTGTTCAGTTTCGGAATGTACCACGACACGGAGAAAATCGGCTGCAGTAAACGCGAAGGCGACACCCTGCACGTGATGACGCCAACCTTTGAGGTAGACGCTATTGGAGTGGCGTGGTCTCGATGCTCCAGGAGAGACATCACGAATTTTTTAGAGTAAATGAAAACAACGTTTAATAATCTCAGTTAATTCAGAATTCTGCAACATCCCTTTCTATGTAACATAAATAAAAGGCGTAGCAAATGTACGATAGCATTATGTACGTGGGTCCTCGACTTCCAGCCAGGGAAAAGGCGATTGTTTGGAAGACGAGCCGGCGGGTAACGATTACGCGTATCCGGATTTGCCACCCGGCGCAATGTATAACGCTGAACACCAATGCAGGCTGCAGTTTGGCGTAAGGGAAGCTTTTGTCTGCTCCCCTTTGCAAGAGGTAAACAAAGAGCGTAGAGATAGTAGAGGGCCAGCCTGGCTCCAGGCTCAATCTGATTTAAATAATCGCGGCACTTATGATTGCAGATCTGCTCGAAACTATGGTGCATCGTGGACGGCACCTGCACTACCATGCTGCATCCGGCAGCTCCAGGAACGCATTGTGGGAAACACATGGTACAAGGAAGTTTCTCTCCGAATAATAAATTCTTTTTATAAAATATATACATATACCACTGGCTAAACTTATCCGAGAGAATGACTTTAGTCTGGTACTACGAAGATTAGAATTCTCTAATGGTCTGCGTCGCTCTTTCCACAGTGGTGTCAAAATCAGGAATGCGTACCCATCGTCGATCGACCGCGGCAAATCGACGGCGGTTGGGGCGAGTGGGGCTCGTGGAGCGAGTGCTCGAGAACTTGCGGCGCCGGGGTCTCGATTGTCGAGAGGAAGTGCGACCATCCGGAGCCCGCACACGGCGGAAAGTTCTGCATAGGCGAGAGGCGCCGCTACAAAATCTGTAACACGCAACCCTGTCCGGAAGGCATACCGAGTTTCCGCGCCGAGCAATGCAGCAACTACGACGGCAAAGAGTACAAGGGAAAGAACTATACCTGGCTGCCGTACTTCGACCAAAGTAAGTGGAATTTTAAGCGCTGCGTGCCGCTCGTCTCCGCGATCGCGTATCATTTCCGTAATTCTATAGTTTTCCAAAATTGCACTGTTCATGATTCAGCGGTTTTAGGGGGTATTCTTATTCAATATTCCGAAATACAGGCGACTGTTTGTGAATTTTTTAAATAAACAACACAAATCTTATACGTTTTTGGAATATATTTATTAATCTTGCAACGTATGATTTTTAAAATGCAGCCTACAAAAATGAATATTTAAGGAATTATCGTAGTCTGATCTGGACCGGGACGAATGTTCCTGCGGTGACGGTGAGCATTACACCCTTCCGTTGTCTATTCGGTTGCGTTGTTTTCTCTACTTCCTCTTCCATTCTTTTATTTTTAATAAATAAAACGCAAGTTACAGATAACTCAAAAATTACATCTAACTGAAGTTCAAAGTACACTAAACTGCTCTCCGAGTAAATGTTTGTAGAGTTTGTCACAGACAGATATACCTACAGCACTACCTACAGAAACATAGACAATCACATTGACGGGGGCTAGACAAAAAGAATGCGTCACTAACGACGAGTTGATTCCAGCTGATTCCAGCTGCGAGGCCATGTCATTTTTCGACCTGCAGGCGGTTCGCGTTCAACCTTCATAACTTCTATGATTTTCTACATTTTTCAAGAATTCTTTCACGTGTCTATTCCAGAAATATCATGGAAAAGTATTGAGTGAAAAGAAATCGACTTTTAAAAAATCTAAAACACGAGAATACCTCCCTAATACCCTCTAATTCGACGCGAGATTTGATTTGCATCGTCCCATTTAGCGGAACCTTGCGAGCTTTATTGCACCGATACAGATGAAAGCGTAATCGTACCTTGGGGAGAGGCTGCTCTTGACGGTACTCCATGCAACGTTGGTACCAGGGACATGTGCATCGCCGGTATATGCAGGGTCAGTGTTCCCCTCCAAAGAGGAATTGTGCAGCTTACGACAGAGTTTTAGAAATTGAAAATATAATTTCGACTTTCGGCCCCGAAAGTAGTCTTAAGGTTTAAATAGCTTCAATTTTTAGAAAGTCGGTTGCGATTGGATGGTGGATTCCGATGCTACGGAAGATCGTTGCGGTATTTGTCACGGTGATGGTACTCAGTGCGAAACTACCAGCGGCGTTTACGACAAAAACGACGGTCCCGGATACAAGGAAGTTGTTATCATACCGTCCGGCTCTCGAAACATAAAAATCGAGGAGGTCGGGAATAGCAAGAATTACATCGGCATCGGCGTGCCGAATTCTGACAAGTATTTCCTCAATGGAAAACGGTGCGTATATCTCAGATCGCAAAATTGTGGAACGATGCGAACAATTTATCGCGAAGCTTAAATTTAATCCTAAAACCCGACACAGCTATAATCTAGGCTGGAGAGTCTCGCGCCTCTTGACCACTCGAATTGTGTGTATATACTTTTATAGAGCAATGTAAAAATTCATCTATTGCGTAATTTGAATTTTTTTTTATCAAATATAATAACGACAGGCTGATAGACAAAAATTTGTAAAACATTAACATAGCCAAACTCTTGAATTGAGATTCTGATCGGACAGGCAGATCACTTTAGCGGGCGAATACGAAGTCGCCGGGACACCAGCTTTGTACGAACGTGAACGGGACAGAGAGAAGATCAGGATCCCAGGTCCTATTAAAGAAGATATCGCGGTCTATGTGAGTACATTCTAGCGATATAAATTGCACACGCAATAGTTAGTCAGAAATGAAAACGCTTTCATATTTATTTCAAGAAATTCTGTAATTGCACTTTCATCGTGTATATTTTACCTAATCTGTGAATCGATAAGATTCAACAGTTTTTATTCAAAAGCCAATAATCTGTCGTCATTGTTTCAGTTAATTTACAGAGGTCAATATCGTAACTTCGGACTACGTTATGAATATACCGTGCCGAAAAAAGAGCCCGATCGGGCTCCGGAGTACTCGTGGGTATCCTCCGATTGGACCCTCTGCACAGTCACCTGCGGTGGCGGTACTCAGGCTTCGCACGCGGTCTGTCACGAAAGAAAAAGCGGCATCGTCGAGGACCACTTCTGCGACGGCATAGAAAAGCCGGAGCCGAAGTCGCGCGAATGCAATTCGAATCCATGCCCTGCGAGGTAAGCCAACTTCGAATCCGATAAAGCGATTGTAACAAACTTGGAGAAATACCATTGCCACGTAAACGAAAATACATTCGAAGCGGTTGGAACTCTAAACTCCATTCGATTTTCGATTACCATCTTTTATGCATTCTTACTCCACGATCGAAACTATTGGCTTCGCATTCACGCTGCAAATTATTGACGACTGTGAAAAGATATGAAAAAAAAAGAAAAACATTTCCAAGACATATTTTACTTAGGAAGCGTTTGCACCTTTTTAACAGTATTTTTTATGTTTCAGGTGGTGGGTTGGTCCGTGGCAAATGTGCCCTGTTACGTGTGGCGATGGTGCGCTACGCAAGAGATCGGTGATGTGTGTGTTCTCTGGCGTGGGTACCGATCGATCAGATTTGGCCCTGCCCGATCGCGACTGCGACAAGCACACGCGGCCAGAAGAAATGGAACCGTGCCCTGATCTACCGCCGTGCGGCCCCACTTCGGAGGTACCGTTGATCGTGTACACCGACAACAAGGACACGTCGTTCTACAACATCAGCCTGAACGAGCAGGACGGTATTACGATAGTCGACGGCCTTACCACCGAGGAACCGGAGATCCTCGAATTCGACAATGTCGTCGACGAGAACCCGGACAATTCCATGTACAATACCAAGTCAAAGTGGACAGTATCGAAATGGAGTCATTGTTCGAACGGTAAGAGGAGTAGAAAGGTCACCTGCTCCGTCCCGGGCGATTGTAATCCGAATAACAAGCCGCCCAGTGTCGAGGACTGCTACAGCGGAAAATGGATTACCGGTAATTAGTGTATATTAACCCGATCGATACTTCGTATCATATTTCTTTTGCCTGCGAAATTAGAAATTCTCTTTTCTGACTAAAATCATTATGTATATAAAAGATTATTCCTTAATTATATGATTATAAAATTTTATTACGTGAAAATGTTATATAATATTTTAAGTATATTCGTGTTTTATAAAGCTGGAAAACGCTGTAATAGATAAAAGTCAATGTAGATTAAAACCAAAAAGTATGACTCTTTGTGAATATTAGACAAGACCTTTTCTGCCAAGATGTTTAAAATTCTTATGTAATAGTTTATTGTTTATTTCCAGGAAATTGGGGAAGTTGCAACGCAACTTGTCTCGTGAAGTCCGGAGTTAAACATAGAGAAGTACAGTGTCGCGATCGCGTGACGGACTTGTTATCAAATGATTGCAATCTCGACAGACGACCATTTGATACAAAGCGTTGTTATTACCGACGGCAGTGCGCCAGCGAGAAAAATGGTAATTTTTATCCGTGCAATATTAAAATGTACTCTCGAAAACCTTCCGCGAGTCTTCTATAAAATGTCATTTTTATATGCGAGAAGCTGCGGTTTTTAAGTAGCTACGGTACATACAAAGTGTAAAAAGAAACATTTCTGAGATCTCGACAAAAGATATTCTAACAACAACAATAATCTCTCTCTCTCTCAAAAAATATTTTCAACATTATTTGCGAGTATCTCCGCGACTTTGTCGCGCAGTGTTAATAATTCAGTTCCTCTTTCACGATATTTAAAATTTACGTATAATTTTAAAAGTTACGCTTTCTTCTTCTTCTCTCTTCATATTTGTCGCGCCATTATAATTGATGTTGAATGGAAGTTCAGGGTAATCTAACAGAGTTATAACGGAGAGAATTAGAACGCGTAGCCGCATGTAATGCTAAGTTATGCTAGTTACGTTACAGATGGTTTGGCTTGTCCAAACTTGCGGAATATGCCCTTGTCCAAAGGCGTCGGGAAACTAGAATTTATACGAGGAAACCGCGGTTCGTAACGACTTGCTTTATGAGATCACACGCGACGTCGCTCGATTTGCATGCGCATACGATGCACCTAATACGCGCGTGCGTGTATAAATACTTATTATAAAGTGCTTTAACGTATAGGGACAAGCATCATTAGCATATACAATGCGGCCTAAATAAGCTCCAAAGATTTGCATATCAAATTCTGATTAATTGATTTTTTATTTATAACATAGGTATTTCTTTATGCAACGTAGGAGAAAAACCTTTTTTCAAACTTATTTACAACTGCATTTGTAACACAGCCAGCATTTATCTATCATATCTTTCTCTCAATTTATAAACTTATGTTTACAAGCAGATAAAATCTGCTTGTAGAAGCGGTAATTAACAACGTCAGTGTTTGCTTGACCATATCTGGCATTTTTAATAATACCGAAAAGTTATTGCGAAATACATGCCTCAGTGGTCGAATTGGTGAGACGCCCGCCTAGAGTGCAGAGAGGGTCCAGGTTCAAACTCTGGCTGAGGTAATATTTTTCGCAATAGATTTTCTGTATTATTAAAAATGCCAGATATGGTCAAGGAAACACTGACGTTGTTAAATAAATAAGTTCGGAAAATTTTTTCCTCGCTATATTATAAAGAAAAATAAAACGGTGAAACATTAATTAAATATGCAAATATTTCTACGCTGTACGCACAAGTACATATTCGCGTAAATGTATTTGCGTACACATGTTCGCACGTAATCTTATCTTTTTCAGATTGCAAGGATAGCATGGTTCCATCGTGTGCAAACTACAGACGTATGTGTGATGTATCGTCGATCGTACGAGAAAAGTGTTGCGCCACGTGCACAAAACGACGGCGACACGTCCGTCACAACAGACGACACATCTTTGCCGATTAACAAAATAAAGGGCTGAAAAGTTAAGAGTGCAAAAGTGTTTTGAAAATAAATCCTTGCAACGGACAACACATCCGTCCTGTTTTATCCATATTATCCGAATTAAGATAAAAGCGTGGTGGAAAATTTCACGTTTATTTCACATGTGACAACGAAAAGATGGAAAAATATATGACAGAGGTGATATTACGAGATTATATTTGTAACTTTCTACTACCGCGTTTATATATATGTATATTTTGTATCAAGATGTAACTGTAGCACCATTTATTATGTGCGTGCATCACCCTTTAATAATCCATCTTCCGTTTGTTAAGACAATAATTGCAAAACATTGCAAACGCCAAATACATATTTACCAGATACAATCTTTTAATAGAGAAACGATCAAAATAGCAATGCGAAACTAATATTATTACAGAATTTCTATATAATAATAAAAATAACGGCTCTTATATGAAAAATATTATCTAGTACGTCTTTGTCGCTCCATTCGACGTTTTATTAAATAAATAATACACTAATTACTGTAAATTTTAGGTAATGCCATTTTATGTTAGAACAGGGGCAATTGTGTCATGTCACGCAATAAAGAAATAGTCAATAATTTTGAGATTTTCGAATAAACAAAAATTCCAGATTACTTCAAGAATAGAACTTTCACATTCGTATATCTGGCTGACAATGAGTATCGCGATAAGTTTCTTATTAAAACATCGCGTTAAAATTTTTGATATGAAAATGTTAATACAAAATTTATAAATAATAATGTCCCGCCTTTTTTACATTATAATAATGTAAAATCCATTCTCTATGCACAAGTTTAATCAGTAAGAAACGAAGAAATTTGCAATAACTACCACTTCTCTCACTTTGTACATTGTAATTTATGTCAAATTATTTTGTATTCATTTAAAATAAAGAGTTCCTCTTTTCTCCATTTTCTCAGAAAAGGAAGAACGTAAATGTTTTACGATTACAGACAACTTATAAACGACTCGTAACGGTGTTTGCAACAAGAATGCTGTATACTCGAGATGTGGAAATCATATCTTACTAATTAGTTTTACATTGAAAAATGGTATCTCAATAAATCGTTCGGTCTTTGATAATGCATTTCATAATGCCGTAGTTTCGCGAATTTCATTGGAATCAATAGAATCGTCGAGGTAACATCAGTTTATCCGCGATTCCTCGCGATTCGCAACAGCATCGAGCTCTCCGCAGGCTCTCAAGTAACAGAAGAAGAAAAGTCGTTCAAAATGCACTTGACAGGTTTTGCAAAATCTACTTCTAATACCAAGTTTTTGTGATTATTCCCCGTGTATTCGCGACACGACGTTCGTTTTGAACCGCCATTACGAGGAACTCGCTTTAATACGACCGCTTGCCGCAAGTGGCGTCGTCGTCGCTGCCGCCGCGTGACCTTGAAAACGTCCTTGAGTGTAGTATTACTCCAAACTACAAGCTTCATTCATAAACTCTATAACCTATACACTTTTGTTTTGACAGTTCGTGAATGACACTCGCGCGTCGCGGGCGAGTCTGTCTGATTGCGATCGAATTATGAACAAGTTTACCCGCCTGAAAGGCGCATAACGCACAATAGAGTGATGCTTCGCTGCACTTTGTAATATAACTCATGAAGAATGTCTGCGATTATAGACGACAAGGTTGTCGCGGGTGCGAAGAGCTCAAATACCGTCAAGGAAGATCCGATTGTAGCGTTAACGGTAATGTAAAATATTGAATTTAATCCACCCCCTGTTTCTCCGACTCGATATACGTGTTAACGTTCTTGCCTGATCGTCCGCATTAATTTTAGGAAAGAGTGAGAGCCCTGTATCTCTTCCGAGATCGCTACTTCGAGACGCATTCTATTGATGAAGCGATTAAGAAACCTACCGACGTGGAGAAAGAGATGAAGGACACGTTGAGCAAGTTCGACGAGTGTAAAGGATACGAGATCGATGGCTCGCGCGCCAAGTATTACTATTTGAAGGGAAGGGCGCTGAACGTAGTGGACCGTTTCATCCCGCAGGCGGAAGAACTTTTGAGCAAAGCAGTGAAGCTGGAGCCTAAATTAATAGAAGCCTGGAACGAGCTGGGGGAATGTTACTGGAAAAACGACGACATAAAACAAGCGAAGAACTGTTTCGTCGGCGCTCTGCAACATGTACATTTCTTCCTATGTTACCTTAACACAGCTTTCATTTCAGAATTTAAGGATTAGCCGTGAAACAGTGAATTATTAAATTGCGTGTATATACACATATATATTCTTCATCCTTTTTGTAGGACAGGAACAAAGCGTCTTTGCGAAATTTGTCGATGGTACTTAGACAGGAGCAAAGTTCGTCCGTCGAGGAGCGGATAAAAAATATTCAACAAGGTGTGGAATACGCTAAGGAGGCGGTAAGCCTTGACACAAGCGACGGAAACTCCTGGTCCATATTAGGAAACGCTTACCTGTCTTCCTTCTTCACGGTGGCACAAAGTCCAAGTACATTACGTTTATGCATGTCTGCGTACACGCAAGCGGTAAGACGGATGAAAAATATTTGTTTGCTATATGTTTCTTACAACATGTATTCCACAGATTTTATACAAAATAAGACAGTTTCTTTTTTTTAGGAAAAAGACCTCGTCGCAAGAAGTAATCCTAATTTATTTTATAATAAAGCAGTAGTGAGTATGATTAAACCTCCCGTAATCTTTATATTTTCATATTTTTACTTCTGCTTGAAAATCCTTGTAACCTGCAAATCTATTTTAGGCACTGAAATATCAAGAAGAATACAACTTAGCGTTACAATCGTTTGAAAGTGCAATGGCGCTCGATCCAGTGTGGGAGATGCCGAGCAATAAACGGGACGAATTACTACAATATCTTAAAGATATACAAAATTCAATTAATAATAATGGATATGTCAAACCAAAACGACTATATCAATTGATGCGGGTATTTATATCATAAAAATTAATAGTAATAAATAGATAACAGTTGGATACATACATTGATACATGCTATTCATGTATGTGATAATATAACATGTGATTTTGGCACAATATACATATTTATAGGTTTATGATTAAATGTAGGCATTGGATGTTAAACACCTAGGACCATACAAAGATGGAGCATACACATATGGTGGAAAGTCTATAAAGTTAGATTTGATTCCGTTACAGGAATTAAATCTTGGAGTGAACACAGAAAAAGTTGTATTTGGAAAAGTAGTTTGTTGGATTCAAGACTCGGACTGCGTCCCATTGTAAGTATTTGCTTTCCGTATTGCATGAATTATTTTTCTGCGTCATATTTACTTATATAGTTATTCATTTTTTTTCTTATTCAGTGCTTTTTGTCTCGTGGACGAACAAAAGACATGTGTTGTTGTCACTGTATATAATCTAGCTAAAGGCCGTGGAGTTACAGTCGGAGATTCTGTTGGTATACCAGAGCCTTTTGTTATACATCAGAAATTTTCCTATATGAATAATGTTAGTATTATGTGCACGTTACGATATAAATCACTTTATCACATATAATAATACATTTTCCTTCGTTCCTTTTCAGGATTTTGATTACAGATCTATTCGCGTTGAAACCCCGATTGTACTTGTAGTTAATGGAAGAAAGTTAGGCCGAGAACAACAAGTCAGCGCAAATCTGCAAACTTTTAAAAGGACAGATTAATTCTAATGAGCGAGACGTTGATCAATCGTTGGTCCTCAGTTATCCGCAATTATAAATTTTTGATCTTACCCTTATTTTTTAATAATAATGTATATTATTTTAATAATAATACTCATCAGTATATTTAAGGCTTTGTACGATACACGAATTTCAAACAAATGTATTACGAAGAGTTACATGCCAATGTACGTTGGCAATAATCAAAGAAACGGGCTACAATATATACCATGTTACTTCAATTTTGTATTTTATAACACAATGTGTAAGAAATACTAACGTGCACATCTTAGCTGCTGCATTTGTAAAACTTGTGAGAGAGAGGATGTTGATATATATTTTTCTTCATTGTGACAGTAATTTTCGCAAAAAAGCAGCAAATAACCTATATCTGCCAATTCATAAAATTAGAAGACTTCGCCTATATTGTTTATTTAAATTGATGACTGAGGTAGAAATATATAATACTTTATTTATATTTTTAACTGCAAACATTTTAGTTTTAATTCTCTACTATTCGATATTAAAATATTTTGCTCTTATTGATTCCTCGAGCATTTCTGTATGTTTTGGTCCAAACAAGAAACTTCAAGATAAAAAGGAAAGAAGTTAGAAATTATAAAAGAAATGCGATTGCTAAGAAATAAAAGAGCCGCAGATCAATGAGTCCCGTGGACTCTGGATTTTATTATTATCATGAAAATAATCTGCTGTGATGAATTTTAGTCATTGAGACTTGGTTTTGTTCAGATTCGCTAAAGTATATGTACACGAAAGACCGACAATAAAAGCAGCAGGTACTTGGAAAACATACAGAACTCGATGTATGTACCTTAGAAAATCCTATTATTATATGGTGTTCAATAATTTGTCAATTAAATTATACTAAGAGAATAGTTGTGTATAATTTTCATCGATATTAACTAATATATTGGAAAACCCAGTTTGCATATGATATACACCTATACTTGTCACAATATCGGTATCTTATATCATGAAAGGGATATCATAGTTTGTTCCAAGCAGCTGCAAATCAAAATATTGAAACAGGGTAAGGATTGTCGTGGATGTTATATCATAATCACTTTGCAAGAAGCAGGGAAAGGAAACAAAGAGAGAAAAAGTAATTTGTAATTCAGTCATAATAACCGTTTTGCAATGCCAATAGATCGATTCGTTGTGTAATATAAAATTTCTTATAATATTGGTCCACAATCACAATATCAATTCATCCACGAATCATCTTTTAACAATTTGTATAAAGAAATGTATAAGAGAAAATATTCCCCGGTTTCACGGAGAAACAACAGGATTTATTACAATTACATTACCTACATGTAAATTCGCATTTGAAGCGAAACAACGATCCATTGGTCCAATCTGCAATGTGCAATGCATATCGGACTAAACGAACAAAACGCACAAATCGATCTCCATATATAAAATACATGTCGCTATATCTCTTTTGTACGTCAGCGGGATCGATTTCAAGTAAAGAACTTACGGTATATCGCGATACCACGTTCTTCAGTCAGATCGTACGAATAATGCTTGTGATATATTAAAAATATTTTGTATAAAGAAGTTCTCTAATGATTACAATAATAAATACTTATTTATAACAATAACAGCATTTATGCATTATTGTGTATACGTGGCAGAAGGATATATCCGTCCGAGGAACCTTTATAGTTAGCGTCGACGAGAGTCACGACAGGCGCTGGATCGTCGCTACCATTCCCAAGGACACCGTGGATCCCCACACCATGCCGAAACCGATCAGTGCCTCGCTTACATTCTCACACCGACGTACGTACTTGTCGTTCGGCGACATCGAGCGACGGTACCCTAAATGCTTTCAGTCCGTCCGCAGCCAAGGCGCGTTACGCCATCACATGTTCACCTCCCAGAGCTTGAAATAGTTGTCGATCACCTCCAAAAACCACTGGCGTCTTTTCGGATCCTTGAATGCGGGCGCCAATGTTCGTAATTGTAGTTGCAGTAACGCTTCGTCGCCCAGCAGGCTGTCCAGTTGCTTGAGCAACGCCGTGTCGCCGTGCAACTTGAGCAAACTGGCGTAAGTGAAGATGTAGTATTGCACCCGAAGACGTTGCACGGCCCATGCCTCCACGCTACGATTGCCGCTCGCCGATTGTATGGAGCCCATATGCTCCGCGTACCACGGCGAAAAGTAATTACTCAGCTCGAGGGCCGACAGCTCCCCGATCCCCTGCGTCTTCAGCCGTTCCTTTATTCGCGAGTATACCTGAGGAGTGTACACGAACACCTGGAAAAAGAAGACACTTGGAATGTTTCGTCACGCGTTTATCAAACAACGTCTGATCTACGTATTTAGGACGGAGACGCTCGTCGAGATGACCGTGCCCAATTAGCGATGAGCCAGAGATTGGGACCTCCAGATTGCGGCATCGTGTATTACAAGCAGAAAGTTACGTGATTTCACTTTTACTGACATTGGAGCGATGACGTAAACCGCTGGTGAGAACTAGACTCGATATAATGACTTTCTGTATAGCTCATAAACAGGACTAAAGACGCGCCTGTCAAGCGAGGAAGTGATACGGTGAATCTGGTACATTTTTGGGACCGTATTCTCTTTTCACGGCATGCCGATTGCGATAACGATCGACGGCTCGCATAATTAGGGAGAATGCGCCGATGCAGAGAAGCGAATTTCATGCCTATTCTTATTATCGTTACGGCATTGAACTGGTCGATCGCAATTTTACGCAAGTGGCGCGTGCGTTACATGCGGTGCAATTTCTTTCTTTTTTTTTTAGAAGACGCGCTCTTTCGTTATACCATTTTCTCTTTTTGTTAGAACAGCTCCCATCGATTAATGAAGTATTGCCAAGATCGATGCGTTGTACGTCCCGAATTGATGATTATTTTTACATGCCAATTTTTATCATTTGCCAATCTATCGTTACCTCGCTTTGGCAATCTGTTATTTTAAAATTAGACACACTTGGGTCGCTTACTTGATAAAGCGAATTTCCCGTGACATAGGAAGCGATGTAGTGCGAGCCGAAGTTCCTAACGAATCGCACTACGCTCGCGGTATCGCCGACCGTGACGTTCTCGGTTTGCCGCAACACGGAATCATCGAGCACGAGGGTCTCGGCGGTGCCGGCGAGTCGTTGATTATCGCGGAATCTAGCGACACGCACTAGGACGTAACAGTGGTCGCCCGTGATGAAGGACGAGTTTATGCCGAGGTGCCTGGCTATCGCCGTCTTCGACCAGCTGCCGGTGAAGGCACGCCACGGCCTCTCGAGCTTCTCGAAAGTGAAGTCGCGGAAATAGGCCTGTAGAAGCTGCCTGTAAATATAAATTGCGAATAGAGGAATCACGGCGGTATAATTTCACGTCGCTGAATATCGTCTTCTTCCTAAGAGAAGCTTCCACTCACCATTAACAGGTGTGGCAAACTAAATGATATTTTATATCAAACTCACATTTAGTCACGTCGCGACAATAGATGGCATAAAAAGTTTAAAATCAGCTTGTAATTTCGGATGATTGGCTACTCGAGCGAGCCACGGTGGAATCTATTGACCTGGTCTGTTTCTTTACAGGGACAACGCGTGTACAATCACATGCCTGATATTGTCGCAAAACTCCATGTGGAAGTCGCCGTCGAAGACGGCGGTGCTGCCCTTGCCCGGTTGGCGTTGCTTGGGCGGTAACGGCGTGGAATTCTTGAAGACGTCAAGGGTGGGCTCGCGGAATATCCAGGTCTCCGTATCATTGCGCGGCACCACTCGCATACTGATGCTCAGGTAACCATAACGGCTGAAGACGTTCACGGCGCCGCCGAGTCGCGGGCGCTGCGACCTGGTAACGCGGGTGCCGATCAGCAACGCGAGCGTCGATGCCAGGAGGAAGAGCCGCATGCGTGAACACATCTCTGGGCGGCTACCTGGATATCTGACCAGTGATATCTGAAACACAGATCGCGAATCGGGACAAAAGTTATGAGCAAGTGGCGATTCAACTGTGACTCATTCATCCCCTAAGACATTTAAAACGGCCCGATAGTCTTGGCGCAATCTTCCAGATCTAAAGACTGAGTCAGTCCTACTACTATCAGGCTCACCTTGTACAGGCGTGTCTCTATAAATGAAAGTACTTTCTCGCGACAATGTCCACTGTTACTTCACTGCGCCATAGATGCGCGAGGGATACCTCTGTTATCCCATTCAATTTTGCACCATGGAACAACATTCGCATCTTGCGAACGTTGGAATACTGAGAAGTCTGTCTCGTTTCGCGCGAGGAAGCCGCACGTCGCCGTCGCAACTACCGGTCTCCGACCGCACGTGCACATCTCGGTGCACGAAGTCGTCGTTGCCGCGTTGTAGCGTATCTCGTTATGTGGGTCTAGGTGTACGCCGTCGAGGTATTTGCACGAGCGAAGCCAGCGGCCTTCATCCCCACCTGGCTGGTACCGGACGAGCACCTTGGTCTACCGGTGTTCCGAGCCTTCTCTCCCTCTCTCTCTACGTGCATCTCGATTCGATAATTCACTCCTCCTTGCCGATCAGGAAGGACAGCGAGCGCACATCTTCTTCCAGGCAGCAGACAGCGAGTGGGCGACCGACCGACCGTCCCGCATCCGTTTCGCTTCGTCGCGTCTCGATACGGAGGCGGACACCTTTCACGGACATCATAATAACGCGGACGATTGTCATAATTACCCGAGCTGCTCTCAGACGATCATTAACTCGAATTATGCTTTTGGAATGAGCAGACGGATAAGGGGTCAAGAGGACAACTGTGTGACGGCGCGCACGTCTCGTAAACGTCAGACGCTGCTCATTATTATTAACCGCGGCACACCGACATAGTTCATTTCCCACAATTGGAATTTGAATGAAGAGCACTGCTTACTCTACAATTGGAATTTGAATGACGAGCGCAGTCACGAGTGTTTCATGGATGTAACTTTTCCCAGTTACTCCTCGAGGAATGTAAAAACGAGCTGACGGTAATAATTAGCAAGCGGCATTGCGAAGCACTTTGAATTTTGCAAGATCGCACTTTTACTCACTGGCGAATCTCAACCATCTTGAATGCAATTTGGCGAAACTTCGAGTCTGCGCGAAACAGAGCAGAGAAAGTTACGTTTGCACGGAGTAATTTTTAGTCGATATAAAATATTGAGGCACGAGCCATCCGTTGCCTAAATAAGGACATAAGTGAGCTTAAAAAAAATATCACGAATTGCATATATCACCATTCTTGGTTTCTTTTTCACTTTTTCACGACTGTTGAAAAAGAAGAACCGCGAGCCACGTGCATAATTCATGAAGTACCAACGCTTCGGAGTACAGCGATTCCGCAACTATGCCTTTTTCGAGAAGACGGGGCAATATATTACAATTATGAGAGGAGTTGTATTACACCAGAAAAGGGTAAGAGTCCGTTAGAACGGCAAAACGGTTTTCTCCGGTGCGCCTCTCAGAAGCGATAATTAATCCACGTCTCTTAATGTTTTCACTCAATTAAGCACATCCGCCCGTATGTATCAGATGCGTACCCGGTACGCACGTACTCCGCACTGTCTGTCACCAGAATCGGCAAAGGTCCGAAGTGCAAGTCCGAGTGAAAGTAAAGTTAAATTTTCACTTCTCGCTCATATGCACGGCCGCGAAAAAAAGACTTGCAAGATTATGACGGACGTACGTGCTCGCGGAGGTCATTAAGAAGACGTTAAAAGCGGAGTACACGCGGAAATCCGTGCGCGTTGCGTGGAGCAGCGCCGATGTTCGACGAGACGAAAGAAGAGAATGATGCGGTTCAATAGGAGCGTAACCCGCTTTGGAAATTCCATCAAGGACGGCCGGCATTCGAGACAGAACTCTTGCCCGCAGGGGTACGTCGATGAGCGAGGTAGTAATTAAGTTTTCTGTCGTCCAATCGAAGAGATGAAATTACTTGGTCTCGCAAAGGAAAACGGATGAATTGGGTTTGGCGAGAACAACGAAGTCAGCCCGGCTATTCTTTCTATTTATCAAACAATCGTTTAAAGTAACATTCGAGTATTCGCCTCTTCGGGCTAACAAAGGGTAAGCGCGCGATATTTCCCATTTTTCTCTACGAATGATATATTTGTAAATAATTTTACCCGCGATGAGAATTATTCAACCTTTCTGACAACGAGTTTCATTTATAGATACCTATCTGTGAATAATGCATTCGTAACGGACCGTGAAACGCGGCACAGTAGATATAATAGATGATCGTGATAGAAATTAATTTAACGTTTAATGAAGCTTCGTGGGAGCGGATAATAATTAAATCGACCATCGGTAATAATTAACGGAGACCGGAAAGTTAAATGACGTTTATCGTGCGTTACACGAGCACGTGCAATCGAACGCGCGTTGCATCGACGTTTAACTGACATAACGAGTGCGCGATAGCCCGATTGAACCGCCGCGATTTTTATCTCTCAAACGACGCGTACACGCCCCAATTCGTCTTCCTCGTTGTTACCAGGGATCGAACTGGCTGCGTCGTTTCGCACAATGCCGCTCTCTCGGCGAATCGATTTAAATTAATCCCCACGGCCACGCGAGTCGCATCACATTTCCGTCGCGTTCGCTTTATAGTTTGCCAGAGTGCTCAATGCGCGGGACCCTGGGGTAAACTTTGACATTCCTGTACGCTCCTGTCTTCTTTGCCCCAGTGGCCTTTGCAGCCTATGAGAATACCACGGAGCGATTAGCGCCAGGTTATAATTATGCAACGGCTCGTTCGATTTTTATTTTCGCGCATACAGGAATAGCTCCGCGAGATTAATTGCTTCGTTAATTTAATGAGACGCCCGGTGGATGTTCTTTTCTTTTTTATTTAAAAGTACTTCTCCATTTTGATGCATTAACGCCGTGCGCTAATAAATTGTTTCATTGCGTGCTGACGTGTACGAGCTAAATACGTTGCGTTCTCACTCGAAATGACCGAGAGTAAGTCTCGGTTTATGCGAGGCCCGAGACTGCTCGATATATCCAGCCGTCGGCTTAGGCCACATGATTTTTTTCATAACTGCATTCTAGATGACTAAACCCTCAGTGGGTCAGCGCAGTGAAGGTGAGTCACACATGCGAGTTATTTAGTGCATATGTTTTGTTCCATTATTGGAGCGACGCGATACCAATGTGGTGAGTGTGAAATTTGTTATCGCAGTGTTTCCGCAGCGATATAGACGGAGTTTCGTCGCGCCCGAACGGTGGCCCGATGACGGATCTCCGGTAATTCACGCGTAATAGGAAGTCGTTTATCGATTTATCTCAAAAGAAAGATTGCTCCATATACCCAGATTCATAGTTGCCGGCCACGAAGGAAAGTAACCATACATATTCATGAGATTACAACAAGAGTCGAGACGGAGAACGTCTCGATTGTTTCGCTCACTACCGTTTCGCCCGTCGATGATTGCGTCAAAGACACTAGTTTTTCAAGACTGATCGATCTCAACGATAGCGATTATTCGCGTTTTCTGCCTGCATAACAAATTACTTTATAAAAGCGTTTTATTAAAACGTAATCTACTTGTGAAGATTTCGATCGCAACGTACAACTCAAACGTAAGTTTTATTCTGTCAATTTATTAATTCCAGCAATGCTTGCTTTTTATAAATAATCGGTCGTCATTTTAGAAACGTCTGTACTATGTCCAGAATTCGTACCCGTTTCGACAAAAAGTATCTGTAAACAAAAAATTTATACACTGCATTCGTATTTTAAACCTTCAACTGGTGCACTTGAATGAAAAAGGCCATGGTAATAGCGAGACATTGAGAAAAGCTAAGTCACCAAATTAGTAAAACGGAAGGAACGAGTTCCGCTTTCGCCGTTGCTTTCGAGCATGCGAGAGTGGTTTTCCAACTCGCGTGATTAGGATTTTATCAACATTCCTACCGACGCGACGTTGACATGGCGTTCTTACTTTCAATTCGAGACTATTTTGTCTAATAAATTAATTTGCAAATTCTATACGGTAGTCATAAAAGTAGTCAACGACGTAACATTTTTTTTTATACGACAGAATTGTTTATTCAATGCTTACGCATAACGTTTCAAAATAATAGACGCTTTTACGGCGCCCAACACTTACCGAGTAAAATAGAAAGTTACGTGAAATTTAACGTTGGTTCACGAGCGTAAACCGGCAACGTTTCTGTACGCCTGATTGCTGGTGCATCAAACGATAAACAAAATTGTGTAATATTTACGCATGAACATCTGCAAGATACCAGATGAATAACATCCTCTATATATCTCTTAAAAAACTAAATGAATCTCTATCGTATGTAATTTTTGTTGAAATGTAATTCATTTTTAAAAATCACGAAACGTGGAATAAATAGTATAAGTAAAGTTGGTAATGGCAACACAAAAAAATCATTATTAAAAAATTTGAAAAGCAGCGTCATGTTGTAGGATCCATAATGAGACAAAGAAAAAAAATTGTAAAATGCAAATTCTTTTATATCTTATTTGCATCAATGAACAATAGTTTAAACTGATGTTATCGGCGTTGTCGATCGAATAATTTTCGAGAAATACGCAGCAGAGAGTATTTTTTAATGCTAAATGTCCGTGTTTATCTACGTCCGTATATGTACGTCAAATTGTGTGTTTAGTAATGTATCGACATCGCTAACGATCAAGAGAGTAATAAAGTAGTCATTGCCTTAACATTGCAAACAGGAAAGATAAATTCAACTGTAATGTAACGAGGAGGTTATATAAAGCTCGCAAAGAACAAGATATATTGCAAGGATTTCTGCAGCGGTACCTTTTTGAGAAATAGATAAAACTTGAGACGCAATCTGAAGACATAAAGTCGATAGGAAACTGGAAGGTTCACTTGCCACAACTTCCTCTTAGCATTTTTACCATTACAGTCGTAGTGAATTGCTGTGACGTAAAAGAAAAAAAAATCTCGGCCGAAGGATAATAATTGAGCGTATAGCCGATTGCGATTCGCTTGTTGCGGTGATATACAGCGGCGCAGAAGCCAATGGAGAAGAATTATTTAAGTAGCCTCGCGGCTGTAACTATTGAAAGGGGCACATTGCGTTGTCCCATTAGACGCAGGAAACGCGATCACTGAGCGTCGAATGATCCAAACAACCGCTTCAGATCTAATTGAAGTAGGTTTAACTAACCAGCCGCGGTTAACGCGGCAACAGAAAATTTCGAAGTGATCGTACGTAATCATCATCGAGCAAAACTTGGCATTTGAATTTAATTTTGTGCCGCTGTCATGGAAAAAATATGAGCTGGTTACGGAAAACTACAGGTGCACCGAGGTAGGTGTACGTTTCGCTCGTTAGCGAAACCAGTTCTATGTTGTTTTGAAGGAGAAACAATATTTTCAAGTAAAATAACGAGATCGAGAAATAGTCGCGAAACAGAGCTCTCTCTCTCTCTCTCTCTCTCTCTCTCTCTCTCTCTCTCTCTCTCTCTCTCTCTCTTTCGCTCTTTCTTTTTGCTAAATAAATGAAGAAAGTTATTATTTCTTTTATAGCTTCAATTTATAATTTTGTAAAAGTTTCGTGTTACTATGGTAGCACGAAAGTGTTAGTGTTGGGTAAATGATTGACATGAAATACTAAATGAAGTAGAATGTTCCGTTCTAAAGAAGAACAATTTCGAACAATATTTGAAGAGTTTTTTCCTCTGTCGTTCTACATAGATATATTTTTAGATTTGTTTATTACAGATATCTTTAGATATTCTTGTACACGTCCAAAACAATATGTGAACGTTTGTTTGTGCAAAATCTGGTTGATTAAACAATGGAATATGTTTAAAATAATATTAAGCACAATGCAATGCATTTAACTAAATTGTTTGTTCACTACAAAATACGCGCGCATACGTTTTAATGTAGAAACTAAACCACGTAGTTCATTCTGTTTAAGACAAAGTTATGCGATCAAATGTGCAACACATGTGCGTGAAAAGTGAAAAATTGCGATGTCTCATCAGCGTCTTGATTTACTGCACGTGCATTCGGATATTTTTAAGTAACTCAGCTGTTTCATATACACATTCCGTATCATATTTCGAACGCAATGTCGTCGAGTCTGGTAAATGCTATCACATAGGAACGTGACATATAAAAATATATCGTGATCAATAATCCGGATGAATGTAGTCGGAAGAATTTCAAATTATTGCGGCATTTACATTTTTTATTAATTGCTCGGTAACGTAAATAATTTGAATTGATTTTTAGAATTTGTACTACAAGGTAATTTAGATTGCAATTTTGTATATTTTTTGCACTCGATGTCAACGTAAAAAAATTATCGAAATATGTTTTCAGAGATCATGCTACAATATATAAATAGGTGTTTAAAAATTTAAAAACAGAAAAATAAGCTCTTGAAAGTTCTTATTACGAGAAAATAAAAAAAATACGGTTGGCTTTTGCCCTACCGGATCACACAAGTTTATTCCATTTCCGTTGATTGGCTTTCCCCTCCGTACGGTAAAATCTCCCTCCCCGTGATGCTAATTGTTATGGGTCACTGACTGTACGCTTGTTACAAGACACTAGAAGATAACTTGACTTTCCAACGTTGCCGTTCCAATCAACTGTACACTTGTTGCACTACAGTTTTCCGTCTCAATTAATTTCAATTTCTCGTAATCACATCTTCTTTTCATTCTGAATGACGAATTGTCCTTATTAATTAAAATGAAGCTAAAACATGTTTTATCTGATTTTCGAATTATATTTGGACGCGTTCAGAAACGGATACAGAACTGATTAAGTACAACGTCTACGTGTCATAATATGCGAATACACAGTTCGCATTTTATCGACAACTTATTCTATTATCGAGTAAACTACAGAATTTCTCGAAATGCAAACTTTTACGATGTTTGCAGTGTAATTTTAATTTAATCAGATGCGCGATTTTTCGCGTAATATCGATAAGTAATTTCCTGCGCGCATTTATCGCACAAACAATTTAGCCGTCGCGGCTGATTTCGTGCAGCTCATTCGATTGTGGATATCCACACATTTCTGAGAACGCGGAGAAAGATTAGATTAAATTGCGTCTCTGATTATTCGTATTTCCAGTAAAAAATATTATAGGACACACGTAAATCTTTCTCGACGTTGTTCCACTGGTACGATCACATTAATTTGCATTAATAGATATTATCTTCCGTAATCGCCGGATGTAGAAATAAAAACAATAACCGCACGTGGTATGCTTAATTATACTGGATAATACACCAATATAAGTCGGGAATCCAGAGAGACAGCTGTTTTGGATATTACATGGTACTGGCAGTGTGAATGTGCAAACTGGTCAAACTCGTATCTTGCCAGCGCTAAAAACAGGATGCCACGAGAACGATGATATTTTAATTTCAATAAAAGAAATAGCCACCAATACGCCTTCTTACGATTAAGAAACAATACCGTTTGTCAGAAAGACATCGAAGATTGTCCCGCACAAGTAACGTTGGCGATATCGCTGCTGTATCATCGATGCCTATTGCGTAACGTAATCATTGACTCGCGGATGCAGTCGATTACCCGGGCGACAATCTGACTTTTGAGCGAGTTAGACTTCTGACAAGCGCTTAGCCTTCTTTTTACGTAAAACCAATTCCGTATGCGTCGCGATCGAGGTCATTCACTCGACTGACGCACGAATATAAATTAATCTCGTTGTCGCGTACGGTCCTGCAGAGCAAGAGTTTATTTTTAAAAGTGCACTAAGAGATACAGCACAAAGTGATCTCGCCAATCTGTCTCGGGAAAGAAATATTAGCAGCCTTGGATTTAAGATGTAGTTGTGAATAAAAATATACTTTTAAAAAACGTGATTTACATTTTTGTTGGTGATTTCTGGTATTGGTATTCACTGAGGGCAGCAACATAAAGAGATAAAAATATTCTGGGAAAAGAAGCAGTATGTTGAAATACTTAAAATTTTATAAACGTCTCGCTCATTAAAAATATTTTTATGATTCCGAAATTATTCGTGAGCCAGAGTTGAACAGATGTTTTAATCCTAAGCAGATTCCTATGCACAAAACGTGTGTGTCGTTCGAGGATGTAGCCAAGGCTTCTTTCCATTCAACCTGCATTCCCTTTGTCTCGCCAAACGGGTAAAACCAGATTTTTGCGAAATTGCACGATCGAGGGTTGTTATTTCTCGCCGCAGAGTGTTATTCACCTATCGAATGCACGATGCACAAAAAAGTCTGTCTTTTATAACCCCGAGATTCCCGCTGACATTTGCATAAATATGCTAAATGCGATGCCCGTTTGCACTTAAAATGTTATATGCACATATATGTAAAAAGCATTATGCGTATACCCTGGGGATTTTACGATATTATATACATAAAATATAACTGTGCAGGGTGCGAGCTAGAATCCTATTTAATATACACTTAATCGCATAAAACTGCATTGCTGTTTGAGCGCAGAACTCGAATGTCGAACAATAAGTAAATAGAATCTGCTATAGTAGCTTGAACAAAACTTCGCATTAATTTGGCGCGAAAATATCCGGATCAAAATTTACGAGGGGGAAACCGCTGACCGAAATCTTGTACACTGGGCATTAGTGGGCATTACTTTATTTTATTATCTTATTTTATCTTATTTTACCTTATTTTATCTTTGTAATGCCCAAACTAATCCCCCAAAATTGCCTAGTAATGCCCTCAGCGGTTTCCCCCTCGGAAATTTATTAGTAGATTCGAAATACGTTGCATTTCAATTAGGTATTACGTAAAATTAATTCGTATATTTGGGTCATATATTTCTTATACGAGTCTGCCATTAGTCGCACTATTATTATCGCTCTGTTGTACTGTCATTGCACGTTGAAGAGCAGGTGCTATCATTTTTCCCCGAGCTAATACTTTTGACATTTCCTTACGTCTGCATTTCTATGAATCGATATATCCCTTTTCTTCAATGATATATTTATCCTCTTTTGTTATACCAAGAAAATAAGGTATTTCAAACTTTTAAATTTGTTTGAACTTAAAACGAAACTGAACAAGCTTTACAAATAAATGTTGCAGGGTGTTTTTTAATTTTTATCCAAGTGTCCATTTTTTGTCCTCGTGTTTCTTATTTTCCTTAATTGCACTTTTATCGCACGTGCTCATTTAGATTTCCTATTAGGTAAAATAATGCCCGCGACATTATGGCTGATTACAAATGTTTCTCTAAGAATCCCCTTCGTCTATTATTAACTCAAAAGGAGAGAATATCACGACTTTATGCCAATATACCTTACATAGAATTCCCCGTGACATTTACGCCAGAAGCGACGACCGTATCTTCGCACAGTAATGCTCTACCAGTCGGTGGAATGCATCTTCTCGAGTTGGTCGTTCTTGTTGCGACACGAAGAAACCCTATGGAGCACAGGGAGCCGTTTGCGAAGATCGTGTCGATTTTGTTGCGAAGTCACGTTTTTGTTGAGAAGGATAATTTCGTAAATAGCATTTAATCCCCAAACGGGCCATCGATTCGTATAAATAAAAGTATTGTCCCACTAATCATGCGCAAGTACATAAAAATGGTTGACAAGTTGACAGGTTAGTGAAAGAAGGTCATTTTTGTACCAATCTCATGCAATCTCGTCACGCCTATAGGTTTATTAAACTGTCGGTGTGTGATAGTAGGAATAAATTTCTTCTTTAATACCAAACTCAAGAGTAAATAAGAATATCTCCGAGATGTTAACTAAGTCACGAAGAACAATTCTTCGCCTCGGTCATGATTCGCCCAGCCGTGATCGCTGACGATGCAGAATACGAAGCGCTCGGGCATGAACCGACAAATAATTTCAATGTGGCAAATCTCGGAATTTCGACATACGATAAGTATATTGACAGGAAATCGAGTAGTTTCGATGGAAAGTGACGACTCATGTTTCTCGGGGAAACTCGATTTCACGTGCTCGCGCGATATCGATCTAATTGTTATAATCAAAACTGTAAATCATTCCAACCCGTCGCATCATGTTGAAGTTCGTTGTAATACAAGTGGCAAGTTGTTAATGGCATATAATTACCACGATCGATGC